CGGGAGCTGCCGCCAGCGCCTGGGCAGCTCCCAGCGGCAGCACGCCAGCGAAGCGAGCTTGGAAACCCCTGCTCCAAAACGTTCTGATGGCAACATGTGCAATGGGAGCTGCAGCAGACACACGTCACTCCGTACCGCTCCAAAGAAAGTGGAATCTATGTAAAAAGCATGACTGCAGCTCTGCTGATTTCATGATCTGGAGCATGCCATACGCCAACAAAACTGAAGTCGAGGGACACAGTCCCGAAGCATAAATCATACTGTAAAAGCAGCAGAGAAAGAAAGCCCACCCTGCCATTCCCAGGTCTTCAGTTAATTTCCTCCCCTCTTTTCCCCCTTTCACACCCAGTAGGTATTTTTGACCTCTCTCTGTGTTAAAAGACCTTGTAACAATGTGCTTCATATTAACGGATGAAGCAGAATTTTGTGCTGCCATCTGGTCGCAAACAGCACGTTTGTTAACCAGCTGGGTACCCAGCCCGCAGCTTCTTCCCCAGGAGAAACACGGGCATGCAGACAGGAAGTATTTTAGCCGATAACGACGACTTGGACAAAATTTCAAGGGAGTAATTTCCAATGTTCTTACTCCACCGCTGCCTTACCAAATGGATTATTATTCCCAATGTAGAAAGCATTTTGAGAAACAGCACTAATTATTTTAAAGTCATTCCACAGCCAACTCTTTCTGTTCTTGTCCCGGGTGCTTGAGCTGCCACCCAGCACTGGGGAAAGGTGCTGTTCTCACTCTGACAGTCTATAAACTGTCACTACTCAGAGAGGAGTCAAAACAAGCATTTTTAATTTAACTGTGTGATCCCCAGAGCATCACATCGGTACTAAGGGCTAGAGCATGGCAGGGGTAAGACCTCACACGACTTTTAGCCCAAAACAGACACTGTAGGATGACAAAAAGTAGAGGAAGCTAGGAGAATGAAAGCAAGAGCTGAAAGCAACTTCACATTTCATTTCACTGGAACATTCCATTAATCTCTTTTCCCTTTCCACATCAAGAATTCGACAGCTAACAGACTTCAAATTGAAAAGGGCTAACATAGACAAAATGCATTGTATATTAAACAATGTGTCCTGTTAAGAATGTGCTGCCTTTTTTTAAAATACAGGCTTTCTGCTTTGAAAACCGAGTCGATACTTTCTGGAAGTGGCCAGTTTAAGAATGCAAACTACAATGCCTGTTCATCAGAGAGCATCAAAATAAAAAGTTATGCACTGTGCTAAGCACACCAAAAATGCAGAAACATGGCAGGAGAGCAGGTATACTGGAATATGAGCATATGAAGGAATGCTTTACTACTAAGAAAGCAGCTACAGATTTGTGTACAGCGGCTGCCATACAAATTCAATATTAAGCAGTCACCACCCTTTTTGTCTGAATGTCACTTGCTTCTCAGTGCAAAGTGACATTCATTTCTCAGGGACTGTGAGGTGTTTACTTCTGGCAAACAGCAGCTTTGGGAATGAGCACAGTATGTAACCACAGTAGAAAATTTTAGAGATACACACAGACACACACAAAGTATACTACATTTTCCACTGAACCCAAAAGTAAACACCACTAAATATTTATGAACCAAAATATGATTAAATGATTGGTTAACTCCTAAAGGGGGCTTTATTATTTAAGCATATTCCTTTGAATAAGAGTTTTTATATTAAATACTTCGCAAGAAAGCAAAAACGAGGGATAAAGGACCTGACCAAAACCCCCTCCCCCACCCCAAATAAAAGCCATTTTTGAAATGCAGATCACTTAAGCACTATTCTATTTTACATCCTGATTAAAAGTCTTTAAGAAATCACTTAAACCTCGATGCGAAAGACCTAGGAGCGAAGTATTAATAGTGGCTCCTCACCTTGAGGTGTCAGTTCTGCCACTGGCTTCGCCTTCACTTGGATCCCTCAAAACAAAGTTAAGGTTGAGATTCAATGATAAAGGTGAAAAATAAAAGTTAAGAAAACCTACATCTAGAACAATGTTAAATAGATACTGAACAAAAAAGAAAAAAAAAGTCAGTATAAAAATGTCAAGCCTAATACTGTTTAATAGTATTTTTTCCACAGCTGTAATTTTAATTTCCCTTTATGATACCGTAACTTCTTTCAGCTCTGACATGTCATTGTTTACCGTTTTTTTTTTAAACTGATTGTAAAATTAACACGTTGTTCTCAACCTACTGCAGACAGAGCAACGGCCACACGTAACTCAGCAAGCACAGAGGAGCTGTCGATCAAGGTGGTCCAGGGGTCCTCTGCACCCTTCTGGGCCAGGCCTTCAGACCTCCGTCCTGAAAGCACTTAGGTACGTGCCCACGCTTAAGCACACTCCAGTCATTAAAGGTAAGACGTGCCTAAGAGTTTGAGACACCAAATATTTGGAGCCCAGTTCCCAAAGTTTCCTTCAGCATCTGCTTAACTTCCAGCAAATCAGCTGTTACACTGACTTCGGTAAAATTACCGGTGAGCTGGAGGTTAAGCATCTCTCCTTTTTATCTGGTTGAATTAGAGCTGTGCTTTACCAAGGAACTGTGTTGCATTATGCCTTTTTAGTCTGAACCAACTTGAAAAAACATCCATCGATTGTATAAGCCACCTAGGTACATTCCTAGTGCTGCTGTACAAATGTTTTAGCACCTAGTTTCAATTAGCTGATTAATACCTTCAAAACACAAATACTTTAGTAACTAACAGCAGAGAAGTAACTTTAGACATAAACCATCGACACAAAATACTTCAATGCCCTGTTCATTCTCATTATCCATTTATTTTATATACTTACCAGAAAAGGCATTTACCTTTGCCAAAAGACAGTAAAAGTCTTTCATGACACCTTCTAATCAAAGTATGCTTTACACCATTATTTCCTGAACAGTACAGAAGTTAAAAGGCATGCAGTTATGTGATCCAACTGAAAGAACAGCAACCCCCCTCACCCCAAACCTCCACCCACTAAAAAAAACTCAAACAATACAAAGTTTGAAAAAAATTAAACACACAACACCACACCAACAAAAAACCCACCAGCAACAAAATGAACAAAAACCCTACAAGGCCCTTGCTATAGGAAAATGTACTTTTAGCAGTATAAAATATCATAGGAAACTGTATAAAAACATTAATGTAATGATCATTAAAAAGTACTATTTACAGTATGTTAATTCTAAATACACAGTTTACAAGATTATGTTAATACTGTAGCTTAACATTATGAAAATATTAATTCTTTGATCAGTCTCTTAAAAAAAAAATTCAGGATGCCATTCCTTGCAAGTAACAATAAGCTGTAATAAAAAATTCCAGCCTGCCCTCCTGAAACGGGTTAGTTACTTAACAGATAATACCTTTCTTCCCATTTGGAAATCTACACTGAAAACACAGTTGACTAACTTTGCTGTAACTTTTTTTCTCTCTTTTTAAAACCAGAGGACAAACTCTGTCCCCCAACCATGTGAGTGCTGGGATACCAATAATGGAGGATCATAGTGCTGTATCTTCAGGTTTCTGAAAAAAGAGAATCTTTCGCATACTGGGGTTTTTAGGTTATCACAGGAGGTATTACTTCGACACACTGATGTACTATCAGCTCAGCAGGTTAAATCAATTTTATGAGGAACATGACTGCATTTCTAGCTTTCTCTCTTTTTTCCCCTTGTATTAATACCTTATGCAATTAATGATATTTTACTTACAAATTTGCAACTACTAGCTTAATCTAGCCTTATTTTTTTTTTTTTTTTTTTTACACACAAATTAGAGAAGTTGGTACATAATAGCATGATTTTGCAAAGAAAACAGCGGTTTCCAAGGTATAATTCTGTTGTAAATCTGACAATGACGCAGTATGGACACAGCCGTAAGTACGCTGTAGAATCAGGGGTAAACCCCTGTTAGAAAGAGGCAAACTGAAAATTAGGTCCCCTTTTGGAAAAGCTATTGTGACTGCTACGTCAACAGCCACTTGATGTTAAACAGTGTGTTTGAAAAATCTTTCCCAGCCACTCTCCTCGCAGCATTACTACTGTTAGCACCATCACAGGCATGAATCCAGGTCCAGGACGTGTGAGATTTCTTCTTTCAGAATCCTGAACTTACACCTGAAGAAGGTGGTAACATGACACGAGAGGCTGCGGGACACTGAAATATTAGTAATTCCGCACCTCTGCCCACTTCTAAGCTTCTCATTTATTCACGGATTTTAGAATTCCTTGAAAAAATTTGTAAATACCTGTTCCCTCTAAGCACAGCAGTAGCATATTTGCATAAATGCAGCCCTTGCAACAAACTGTACCCAGTTAAAGAAGTAAAATATTGTTAACATTCAATAATAACAACTCACTTTTAAGTCACTCTTTTCAGTAATTAATTTGATTTTAGCTTAACTGTAGCACCTTTGTATTTCAGCTGCAAAGCACGAGCAAACTTTTAAGTACCGTTCTCTTGCTCCGTGGAGATAAAAGAAGGAATAGCTGTCAAACATAACTGTTACAATACACACAGAGAAGTAAAACAAGGTAGGTTCTGAAGGAACACACAAAACAAGCAGCATTCTAACTACATTCACATTTACTTCAGACAAACTGGAAATTCTCGATGACTTCACAATTACGGCCCTGATTATAGGCTGGGCTGCTTTTTTTGTTTTGTTTTCTCTTAAAAATCGAGGTACTAACCTGCGAACAAACTTGGAAGTTATCTTGCTTATTATACCAGTTGATGTCCCTCTTCTAGCATGTGCAAAAGCACCGGTTTCATGTGATGGTGAGGCGGGCGGTCCATTGTAAGTGGCATTACGCCGCTCCCTGAGCTGCTCACCATGGAAAGTGCTTCGACTTGAACTCCCCCGAGGAAAGCGGGTTCGGTCTGGAGTGGTAGTGCTAATACTATGAGCAGACGGGGAAGCAGCAGGCACTCTTTGAGTTGCACTGCTGGGAAAACAGAAGCATAAATAAAGAGAAAGACTATGCTAGAAACCTCCTACATGACAACCATTTCTCAAAGATACGAAAAAATCTCCGCTCTTGACTCTTTCTTTTTTTAAAAGACCTGAATCTGCTACTGATTTGTTTTTACAATTCATACTTAGAAATATTCAAGAGAGATTTTCATTGTAAAATCAAATTATGCCAGGTATTAAGAGCAGTTAAAAGTATACACAGCTAATAGGCCAAAGGAAAAAGGTAGGAAAGTCTGTAGTACAATCTGAAAGCATTCCCAGCCCTTTTCTGGAATAACATGTTCATCAAAACCTTAACAGGTAGCAATCTTCTGGCTCAAAGAAGTTTATAATGCGATTTGGGCAGTTAATAGCAAGAGCAACTGTATGATGGTGCTTTTAGCCAGAAATGGGTCTAGCAACCTACAAAGCCAAGAGGTTCACACGTCAGTACTTCATTTGAATTTACAGTGGCCAGTGTTGTACGGTCCTGTCAAAATTAGTTACCTTTTGAACTACTTAAGTTTTCCAGAAGCCTCCAGAGGGAGGCAGTCAAGGAACTTCTTAGCCGTACGCAAACATGCGACGAACAAAATCGGGCTTAAACCATCTGTAATACCCACACTACCCGAGTAAGCTGCTGTTTCGAAACAGAATGCAACGCGGCAGCTCCGAACAGACTGCAAACACACTGAAGTCTATCAAAACCTCCACAACATCATTTTTAAAGCGCAGAGCATTAAAGAAATCATCATCAATTACCTTGGTCGGTAAGCCTCGGTGCCATCTTTGATGGTTGGCAGCGTAACTTTGATAGGGTGACCGGAGGCAGACATGGACTTCTGATGTCGAGGCCGTGTCGATATAGCAGACGCGACTGCAGAGCCTGCGGAAGTTGTGCTACTCGCAGACATCTCTGTTAGGCTTTTACCAGGGCAGCAGGGATGGAGAAATGGAAAGGGAAAAGGAAGGTTAGCATAAAAACCCCTAGAAAACAGGGAGAATAACAAGTGGGGTTTTGCTTCTCAAACATAGCAAGTGCTGTTAATAACCAGAAGAGTGAGTGACCAGGCTGCCTCAGTCAGCCGAAGAATACAGAATTCTGAGAAATTTATGTTCATCCATAAATCAGATCACCATGTATGTTAAATTAGGCCTTTTCGTTCCTCCCAAGAGTAAAGCTTACAAACACATTATTCAAAGTGATGAAGAGAGACTATAAAGATTACATGGAAACACTAAAAAACACTGGAAGAGACATTCACAAAAGACTTAATCAATAGACTCCTTCTGTGATGTGGAAAAACTCCCTTATTTTCAGTTTAACCTCAAACACCCAAAACTTGAAACACTGGGAACTGCTGTCACATCACTTGGAAGCGACTGTGTTTTGTACTTCCTCCCTGGACTATCCCAGCTCTGGCTAGGCTGGGCCCACCCTTTTAAACACAGTTCTTCCTAGCAGCACTTTTATTTCTGCTTCGCCGAGGTGGCAAGGAAGAGACAAAAGTAGCGGCCAACATATTGCACGATTAATTTTTAAAACAGAAGTCAAACGACTTAAGCCAAACTACAGCTTTGCCTCTACAAGCATAAACAAAACTGCATTAATAATGCATTAGGAACAACAGTCCCAAAGCTAAATATCTGTAGCAGAGGTAGAGATTTCAGATGAACAATCCAATGACACAAGATGTTCAGCTACACCAAACCCAAATTCAACAGCACCACAATGTTTTGTTGGAAAGGCAAATATACAGCTGAAGAAGATTCTTCCCCTTCATTTTTCAGAATATGCTCAAAGAGCTGAGCATTTTCACTGCACGCATGGAAGGAACAGAAATTGGCTGTCTTTTTAGTAGCACAGAAAAAACCCAAACTGTAAAATGAAAAAAAAAATTGAAATAAAATCCCTTCTCATTATAATGTTTCTGATATTAAATCTATTGAAAGAAAAACTTTATCAATCTTCTTGAGATCAGAAAAATAATTTTAGTCTATATTTTAACCCTAACTCTAAACCCCATATGTTGTATTTCTTCTTTAAAGAAGAACTTTTTCAAGTATTTTAAACTAGACAAAAAAAATTTGGAAATACACTTTTGAAAGGACCCACTCTAATGCTTTGAAATTCATTAAATATTGAAAATTAGTTTTCTGCTAAGTACCTCCTTCAAGCTCTTTAAACAGCTGTACTTTACAGTTGCATAGCTCATCACTTTGCTCCAGATTAACAGCTCTATACTTTTCTTATTTCCAAAGTTAAATGCATCATTACAAAATTCAAACACTGAAACAGGAAACAAAACCAAATTAGCTTACTATATAATGTAGTTCATGCTAGGGATTCTTTTGGTCATTTTACCAAATCTGTTTTACTTATATAGCTTTAAAAAAATCAGAATAAAATCTCTTCCTTTAAACAAGCAAAAAGAAGCCAAACAAAAAAATCAGTTTTCATTACTCTCCATTTAAGCCAACGTTTTATTTTTCAGTCAGGTACAGGGGTTAACTAACATGAAGGATGAACGACATATTTTAAAAACCAGTATTTGTGGCAGTGTTGAATACAACAGTATTTAACAAAACATACTAAACTGGGTGTAATTACCAACCCACAGAGAGATATAAATTGGTTACCATCACTACTAAAACATTATTTAGGCTGAAAAATGGTATCAAAAAGGACTGACAAGTCTTACCAATTTCAACTTTTTGAGTGATTACTAGGAGAAATGGAAAAGGATCAGGCTACACTGTTAGGGCAATCTGAAGGTCTCCCCAGCAGAACTGCTTACTTAGCTGTGAGCACAGTTATGCTGTGTTGGAAGACAACCCTTGGTAATAAATGTGATCCCATGAAAAGAGGCAAAGGCAGACCTACACATTTAGTTATAAATTTCGTCGCAAACAGAGAAGCAGTGGTGGAAGACGAGATGAAGAGATACAGTCAGACTTTCACACCATGCTTCATAATGGTATTGATGAATTGCACAGCCTGCTGCTTCTGTGTCTCAGTTCTTCTACCCAAATTAATAAGCAAGAAAACCTGAATACCTGTTGTCCTTCCCATTCTGTATTGCAGAATAGCGATCTGAAGAACGTTCACAAACGTAGGTGTTCCTCCTTGTCATTCCACTACCAGAAAATACATTATTCTACAAGAAAATTAAGACTAAAATTACATTAAATACTTTCTTCTGCTGTATATTATGTTCTGCAAGAATCTAAGCACTGGGAACAAATAAAAATTGAACTTCAGCCATTTATGTACTAGGTTAATCTGTTGACACAAATCATTGCTATCATGAGCTGTTTTCTTCCAGTAGCTCATTCAGCATCCCATTACTGTACCTCTGAGAGAACGCCGAAAGAAAATGTAGAGGAATTTAAATTTTGCTGACACTTGCTTTACCAAGTATTATTATCCAATTCCCACATACAGTCTTATTTGTTTCTGGGATTAAAGGAACAAACTGGAATCCCAGAGAACCCATCAGTCTGGCTGGTTGAAAGGCTTCCCTGTGCAGATTAAGTTGCCAGTGAGAGTTTCAGCCGTACAGTTTGTTGCCCCCAGCCAAGAGTTTTCAGAAGAAAAATGAAAAGACTATTGATCTGTGACAGTCACCCCAGAAATGATGATGCAGATAACATGGCAAATAGGTCTTGTAGCAACAAATTCTGGTGGGACTTTCTTTTTACTAATTTCAGTTTGCACACACTTCATAAAATAGCTACAAATATTCTCCTCCTCCCCCTGCCATGCAGAGATTAGCTGCTGAAGACTTACTACTGGTAAATGACAAAATTCTCAGTTTTTAATACAGTACACACTGAATTTCGGGTAGGAGGGGTTTGCAAAATGCTCACGTTACACACCGATGCACGCTGGCAAAAGATTTCAAATACACTAAACTTGGGTGCTGCAGGACACCGTGAATGCTGCAAGAGTTACTGTGCGTGGAAGTCTCCCTCACCTACAGCTTTCTGGCAGTAGTATCGCCCCGCTGAGACGGCCAGATTAATGGCTTCAAAGTCAAGTTGTAAGGAAGATTAACAACTGCAGTAACTGGTTTGGAAATCACACTCTTGTAAGTTAGACTAAGAGGACTGAGGGTGATAAATGTGTTTTGGTTTGTTTGTTTGTTTTTTAAATCCCGCCTTCCCTAACATCATGTTACCCTCGGAGTTACACAGAAGCATTCTAAAATTATCCACATGAAGTGAGCCTTGTTTATTTTAGCAGTTTGAGTTTTAAAAAACAAATTCACTTTTTCCCCCTGTGCAAGCTGCTCAGCATTAACTACTGCTGGAGTATCAGACACCACTACTCCTTAATCGTGCCCATCACAAAGCCTTTCACAACGCCCCCAAAATAGCAACAGAGCTAAAAATGTACAAATACTGAAGTTGCCATTAGCAAGTAAATCAATTTCTCATTCTTCATAGCAGAGATACTCCATTTAATTAGTTCTCACGAAGCAGAGAAATGCTTTTGACATATCAGCTTGTACCACACGACTGTAATCTGCTTTGGGGCAACAGTCTGGGGCAAACTCAGATATGAAATCTAATCTTGGAAGACTCAAAAAACCTGTGATCCACAAAGCCATAATTTCAGCGTCTCGTTGGGGGAGTAAAAACCCCTTCTATTTAAAAATTGAAAAAAATGGTCAAAGCACCCTGAGCTGTATTGCAGACACAGCCTGCAGAACACGGAGAGTTAAACGAACTTCAGCATTTATTCTGTTTGACCGGAATTCTAGCAGAAATGCGTATCATCTTCCCAGAATATCCAAGATGGGAGCCAGCATAGAGAATCCCTAAGGACAATGAGAATTCCTAATACTAAAAGATGGCCAGAACTTCTGCATTCAATACACGTCTCTAAATAGTGAAAAGTATACTTGAACCTTAAGTTATGATTCATGTGGGGGTTTTTTCCCCACATGAACTCTTGCTCCCAAGTAGTCCTTTAAACTCTATGCAAATGCATAAGATGCTAGCAGTTTACAAGATCAGGAATGATATCATAACAGAAGAACTAGCAAATTAATCAGGTCTTAATACAAAACCCAGGTTTTAACTCATCAACAAGCACAGACCCACCAGGGAAGAATTGGGTTGCTCCCCCTCACCTCACCCCATTTCAAAATGAAATGGCTGCAGAAAGCTAAACAGACAAATTTACAGAGAAAATGTTCATGAGGGGCTTTACGTAGGATTATTCAGATGAAGTCTCTGCTTCAGGAAGGCCCTTGACTTCCTTGTAAATACGCAAGCATCAGAAACCAGAAAAAGAGCACTCCATATTGGCTCTGTTCTTACGTTCCTTCCCGAAATAGCCACTATTTGTCTTGACAGATCTTCAGTTTGCCCAAGTGCAGACATTCTCATGCTTACTGTTATGTTAGTGTTAGAAAAAGTGAAGTTGGGGCGGGGAAGGGAAAGGTTTATTTTAAAAGACATCCACTGTAGCCTATTTCTGTCTGCCAGTAGAAGTTACCAGAAATAGCCTCAGTGGCTTGTTCAGTAATCATTATGTATACAGTAACCTTATGCTGCAGATTTTGTTTAAATTGGGAAAAATAAATATAACAAGCCAAAAAGCACTCACACTGGGAACTGTAGTTGATTTCTTTCTCTCTGGACCCACAAGTGGACTCGCAGCCATCTCTGCTTTGGATCCCACTGTAGTGCTGCTAAGTTTGCGTGAGACATCCTTGTCCCAGTCTTCTTTCTGTTCGCTTTCCACACTATTTGCCTGAGCCCTTTTCGTGTATGACACAGCAGGAGGAATTGAGGGACCAACTGCCAAATAAAAACAGTATTAATGAACACCTAAAAATAATCTCTGCATTTTTCTTGGCCAAAATAGTCTAAATATAATCTCCCGGGTCCAAAAAAAGCACCTGAAAAACTATGACTGCCAACTCAGCACGTAGAGCGACCTATTAAATTGAGCTTTGACAGCCTACGCTCTTCTTACCCGCTCTCTCTCTTCGTTACCAATTTGCAGTTCAGAATTAGTTCCCTTTTCACATCAACATGTAAAACCTAGAAAAGTATTTTCATTCTCATTTTAAACCCACACAATTTGTGCAATATTATGAAAAAAGGAATTAGAAGATACTATTTCAAATTATTTTCTGAAGTACTTTTTGCCATGTATCTTTTCCTCTGAACACTATGAAAGATCCTTTTCCCCTGAAACCCCTAGAACTCCCTTGTTTAAAAGCATATTCATACTTCAAAAAATTACAGTTCTTTCCCCTCATCATTCTTTAAAATGCTTTGGGGCTAATCCCCCATCAGCATAATTTTACATTCCCTTGAAATAAAATCATATCAGGGGATGATCTTCACTATATTGGTTATGTTTTTTTGGAAAAAACAGCACCACACGAACACAGAGGGAGGGTAGTAAAAAACAAACCAAAAAGGGGGAGTGAAATAGAAACAGCAATGTAAATTAGGTGGAGAAAAGGGCCAAACATTTTAGAAATATTTCTGATAATTTGATAGTTCTCTGAGAACACCACCAACAAAAAAAATCACCTTCCATTTAATGTTTTCAATATGCACTTTTTGATGTAAACATTTTCACCCGAAAATGTTTCCTGAATACTTGGTAAAGATCACTGTTTCATGGAAACAATTTGGCCCCAACTCTAAATGTACTGATAAGCCTAATGGTTTGCTGCCTTTGAGTTTTCCCAGACCAATATTTTGCCATTTCTTCCTAAACAGGAAACATCCTCAAGCTCTTACTTTGCGAGTCAATCAAATAACAGGTCTAAAAATTTCAATCTGTAAATTACACCGACCCAGATTTACCACGGAAGCGTTCATACAAATAAAAGCATCACAGTGGAGCATGATGAGATACACAACAAATGCACAGAGTGGTGGACCTGCCAGGTTCACAAAACACTGCACATTCAGACTCAAATTGTGTATGTTACTTTACTTGTTGGAATGTCATCCCCACCATGATCACTGAACCGCCGCTGTTTCTGGTTAGTTGATATACTCCGTTGGACCTTCAGGTGAGCGGGAGACTGCACAGAACTGTTGTTGAGGTCACTGCTAGGACGAGACCTTTGACCCAAGTTGCTGCTGGACAAGGACTCACCTCCTTCAAACTACAAGAAAAAAAGAGTTTTTCAGAGCATAACCAAAATTCAACATTTCTGGTATTTTCATGGCATAATAAAGCGAAGAGTTCCAATCAAAGGCATTTTTTTAATGTTTAAGATTGTATCTAGAGTTTAGTTTTTTTCAAGATAAATTTTATCACTTCATCTGTGTTTAATGTTCTTTAAAATCATCCAGCTAAAGCTAAGAAGTTAATGAATGCTCAAAATAGAATTAGAAGAATCGTGACAGTAACAAAGCCTGTACTGTTTTAAAATCTAAAGCCAAAGAATGGCTCTCCCTGCCTTTTTTTTTTTTTTTTTTAAAGTGCTTAAAGAGCATTTACAGTTTCCCAACAATTTTAAAATGCATTGGATGGAGTAAGAAGGGCTAAAAAAGCATGTACTACTGATTCAAGGGTTCTTTATGGCCTTCAACGCACCTTTATAAAGGTATGTACTCAGCCACTGGTTTGTTGATACCTGAGAAGCATAAGAACAGTGGGAAAGACAAATGCCCTCTTCCAGGCAGTTTGAGTCAAAAATCATTTTAGATTCCCTCCATGCTCTGCCATCACAAGGGAATTCTGGTTCAGAGATGCTGTGGGAAAATGCACTCAAGGATGCACGTATCAGATCTACGTTATCGTAGAAATGAAGGAAGGCCAACCAAGCATCAGGAAAAATAGGCCTTCAAAAAGAAAGCCTTGGTCTTTGCGTGATTTCTTGAAAATCCCTGTGTTTACAATCCTAGTTGTAAAACAGCCAAAAGGTTTTCTATTACACATTTACTAATGACTGTGATGCAATTATTTATTAAATAATAACATATACTAAAATATAGCATGCAAGTGAGAAAGAATTACATTTCCGCATACGCAGGATGTCACATCTCAGTAGTTAGAAGAATAACTGCTCTAGTCAAATTAACTATTTCAGATTTTAACTGTAAACACGTGACAGGGAGAAGACTAAGCACTCAGAAGTCATTCCACTTCAGATTAACAGGTAACTTTTTAAAAAAAGCAACTCATCGTATTTACAAGCAAATGTGAAGATACTGTATTCAATCTATTTCTTCATATGGGAGCTAACAAGATATCCAAGATGACATGAAAAGGGAGAGACGTTAATAAGCTACCAATTAATAAATTATAAAAAAAACCCCAAACAAAACAGATGTTACAAAAAGGTTCATAAAAACACTGAAAACCAGAACATTCAACCCAACCAGATACAAAGGCCAAAATAGAAGAGGTAGATTAGGTCAAACTTACTTCAGGTGGTTTTCTACCTAGAAGCAGGTAAGTAGCCATGACTTCATCATACTTTTGGTTTACTAAAGATTCATGGATTTCTTCTCTTGAAAAGCCCATCGTGACCATGATGTCTAAAAGCAAAAAAGAGCTGGACACATTAGCAGAATACAGCCTTGGGTTTACTGACAACTTAAGGATAATAAAACAGAAACCCAACGTTCTAACAGCCAACCAGGATTCAACCCAACCATAATCCTCGCTGCTGTGCGAAATCAAGGCTACAGCTCCCCTCTTCCATTATTTTCTTCTTGAGAACTCACAACGATGTTATTCATCATAGTTCAACATAATTCAACGTTAAATGTTATTCAACAAACCAATAAAACACTGGCAAATAGAAACTGCAAAGAGCTACAGGGCCAACAGAGTATCTTTCTCTGACCACAGTGGATAAAAATTGTTACTCTCATAACCAAATCTGTTTCCTTCTGCCTGTTGAATTCTGTAATCGTATTTGTCTTCTGCTGCGCTTGTAGATTCATGTCAGCTCAGTGAAGTCACAACAGTAGTTACAAGGAGGGCATTGTGATAAAACCTCATTTAAATAAAAAGAAAACAGTTTAATTGTACCATGAGATTGTATCTCTAGTTCGATGCAAGAGTTTACTTTGACTTAGAAGATAAAATTGCCTGTGTACATCAGGTGCAGCATCCTTGTTACGGTCTTACCTATTCTCTTGGTGTCATTAAAGTCAGGTTCAGGCTCAGTGTACGGCTTCAGTTCTTCTTCTTCATGGCCAACATTCATCCACCGATCCTTCATAATTTGCTATGGAAAGAGGTGAGCTTTAGGTCACTATGCCATTTCCCATACCTGATTAAGCCTATGCTAGCTAGGCTGGGGAAAAAACAACTTAAAATTCATAATATGAATGCTGCTTTTCCCCTCCCACCTTTTCCTCTCGCATTTTAGGGTTTCTTTTTTTGTCTTTCACATCCTTTTGTTTGTTAGTTCATTCCCTCCTACTATTTCCCCCTTACAATACAACAACCCCCTCCCCAGCTAAAATATCAGAAAAACTATGGAAAGAAAAAACCCTGCACTTTCAACATACAAAAATCTTCATTTTGTACCCTTCACTTCCACTGCCTCTTAATCTCATCTTGCTGAGTGCGTGACACTCATGCCCTAATCTCAGTTAAGATCCCTAGATGTTACTACAGTACCAACTCTATCCCAGTGAATAACTCCTTCAAATCATAACAAAGGAAGTGCTCAGAAACCAAGTGATATTTTGAGAGCGTGCTGATGTTTCCGACAGTCATACGTCTCAAGACTGTGATGCCAACTGGTCATTTCTTCCTATGGACCTTCTCACTGCACTTGACCTAAATACCTTCACGGTCTGGCTGGAGGGAGAAATGCTGCTTAACTCCCTCCGTGCCGTGCAGGTATGTACTTTAAAAAGTTCTCCTGCATGCTTTGGAAAATTTCCTGCTGTGTGGCCTGGATCTTGCATATGCCTAGAAGACTGATCAGCTGGAATCCATAACCACCACCGCAATTTCTCCTTAAGGACACACTCATCTTTTTTAAAAACAGCTAAAACCATTTTCCCTCCTACAGCAACAGGCACACGTGCCTCTTTAGGGACAGATGCTAATACTGCTCACGGGATTGACAGAAGAGTGAAACACATGCCAGCATGTCAAGTTTCCCACAGGCTCCAAATATGCCTCGCAAACACCGAATGAAGTTATGTCTCACAAAGAGCAAAAGACTCAATTTTCCACCGATCTAACCGAACTCTTTGTACGCAGTGCAGCTGCCAAGTCACAGACCCAAATAGCTGCACCCTTACAGGAACAATACAGAACTTTGTACTTGGGCCAGTTAACATTTCGCTGACAATAAGACTTAAAAGATTTCTTCGAAGTTCTGCCACAGAACTGATTTTTTGGCTTGTAAGTGGGATAAAGGGGAAGGGATTGTAAACACGTATCACTGTATTGCATTTCTGGCACACAGAGCACGAGCCTGTTTGACAGCAGACTTTGGTTATGTATTTCTAGCCTTGCAGTAAACATGACAGGCTCCCCAAAGAGTACTATGCACTACCTGCAATTACAGTTTTTTCAAGATACTGTTAATTAAATCTAAAGTTCAAGCATGATGAGGTGTTTGGATAACAAGAATAACATTGCTTAAATCCCACCTCCATTTTTTGATCCTTCTTGAATTAATAGGCAAACCCAACAATTCTCACTTCAGTTTTTCATGTCTCTTCAGCAGATGCATCTATAGTTCAATACGATCTGCTCTGGGTTTCTATCTGTTAAACACCTAAACTTTTGCTAGCTTCTGACCTCATAGGAGTAGCGAGTTAGTGTACAACTCTTAAAACAGGCTCTTACAATCAAGCCTTTTGAAGTGACACAAATGATCCAATTCGAGGATATTACATCTGTGCAAGGTCAGCTGGGCTTCCAGCTGGTCAGACGGCAGCAGCCATGGTCAGGGTATTTAAATATCAGAGCCAGACTGAATTTCAGCCAACGACATATTATTGGTGAGGTTTCCTTCAATTTTCAGGAAAACTATCTAATAAAAATCTGGCCTGGCTCAAGAGCTGTCTGTCTCAAAATTATTTGCTTTACTGCTCTTTGCAAGCATAAATCTGGTCTGTGGGAATGTCATGTACTGTTGCTTTGCAAAGAAGTGAAGACTAGGGAGGGGAGGAGGAATTTGTTGAAATTCTGAGAGTTAAAAGAGAACCACATATTTTCCGACAATGCATTTTCCCCATCTCTTTCTGCCGAGATCTGCAAGATTCTCTTGCTTCTAAAACGTTTTCTCCCTGCTTCAACCACGAAAAAGTCTAGACAAACCATTTTAGTAAAAATGTGCTTGGTCCTTACCAGAAGAAGAGTGCTAGGCCTAACCCATACGCTGCTGATCCTGTGTCAGCTTTGATGCTACTGTCACTGACAAACATCCTATTAGGTCTGGGAGAAACAGGCATGGGAACCGAGCAGGCGTATGGCTGAGACTGAGCAAGTAATTAAAAGACAAAGCACAAACAAAAATCTGCCCCACCTAAGAGGACACTGTCTCTTTTTAGAAACTTTTAATGTATACATACTTTCATTTTAAATATGTATCTTTAGAAGTGCTCAGACAGTAGAAATAGTCATTTCTTTCTAAACCACGTACCACAGCTTTCTAATTCAACAAATGTACCATTTCAGGAACATTCCATTTTTAAAAAGTTTGCGATGTCTCTCCCCCTCATATTAGCTGTGATGTCTCTCCCCCTCAGATTAGCATATCAATGCCCATTATCATCAGTATTATGGTGCTGGCTCAAGACCCCCAGGCACACGTAACATTTATTCTCTCTCTTCCATACAATCTGACAACTGCGCCTATCCAGTTGGATAGTCTACTATCCAACACCTCTCTCCAGGGACAGGGAGGGATTTTAGAAGAACTGGATAACTACAATATCTAGAATGAAAGTGAAATTGGATCTGAAGAGAAACTGCGGAAAATCCAGAGGAAAGTTCAATAAAAGGAAAATCTGTTTTCCTAAGACTTAAACATGACAGGAAAAAAGCCACCTTTCACCACCTTCGAGCGACTACGTTCTTATCGCCACATCCTCTACACAGGAATAAATACAACATAATTAATGAGTATTAGTGAAGTAGAAGCACCTTTCACTATTCTCTTCAGCACAGATTTTATTCAAGTTAAAACTACTGGTAACAAGTCACAAACCAGCACCAGCTTGAAATAAGTTGCATGCAGCCAGAGCTTGGTAAATGCGTGCTTCCTTGGGCAGGTAGCATTCCCGCCAGGAAGTCATGCCACTACAAATAAAAAGCTGCTTAAATGGGATTTATTCTCTGGAACACCATCCACTACTGTACAAGTATGCACAGAAAGATGAAACAAAGGTCACTAGTGATTAACTCATGCAAATACTATTTTAAAACCAATTATCTTCTGCTCTACTTTCATCTCTATGGTAAGTACATGTTATTTTAAAAAGTCTCTCTTTGTTAAAGAATTTGCAAAATAGAACAGAGCAGCATTCAGAGTGAACTCTACACAAAATATTTGTTAAATATCAGCGCCAGAGCTATCCAGCAAGTACACGCCACTGCAGCAGAGTTGAACAAAAGAGTCCCTTAAAAACACTGAACCTTTCAGACGCCTCACAAATTATGCACAGATATTCTCTGCATCCCATGAAGATAAAACATAACTCAGTAGAAATCCTCAAAACAGATCTGAGCTGTGGGACACAGCAGGCGTTACTATATGTTAATTTTACAGCTATTCAGAAACTAAGCTACCAGAAGGGGAAAAAAGAAAGGGATGAACACAAACAACTACCAATGATTAACTTATCATTCGAAGAGTTCTTAGTGTTTGTCTGTGTTATGGCACTAAAACAAACAAAAAACCCCATGTAGTTTTCTAATACAGCTGTTCTTATATCTAAGGAGTCACGTTGGAAATAGTAAGTTAAGTCAAAAACGCTTATGGTAATGTCTGCTGCTGGTTTTGGTTTTTTTCTGAAAAAACTCCAAGCAGAAGACATTTACAATCTTGTCCTGCTCTCCCCACATTTTGAACTAGCTCCATGATGTGGCTGAAAGAAGTGGGAGCAGTTTGCACTTTGCAATGCTCTGAAAGTGTCAGTCTACATCGTAGTCAGCTGCGATTAAGGTTAGACTTCCATTCATGAACACTTTCTATTTTCAAGCTGCACTGTTTCTGGGACAATTCCTTTAAAAAAAAAAAAAAGAGCTTTTGGCCCTTAAAACAGGAAGAAAGTACCTACCATGAAAAATAAAGAAGTCTTAAGCAGTTACTGTATTTTATGCTTTCTTAGGGTAAAACCCCTTTTTTTCCAAGATGAATGAATAGTAGTACCTGAAGGGGGCCAACAAGGAAGCTGGAGGGGGCTTTTTACAGTGGAATTGAAGGTGGGAAGGTTTAGATCAGATATCAGGAAGAAACTCTTCCTGATATCCCACCTGGCAGGTGGGTTGAAACTAGATGGTTTCTAAGGACCCTTCCAACCTAAACCATTTTATGATTATAGGAAATTACTTACTTCCAAGCTGCCTCGTTTTATTGGATTCAGTACTAGCAGCTTCTTCAGTAGGTTTTCACAGTCTGTGGACATATAGAATGGAATGCGGTACTTCCCCCGCAGTACTCGCTCCCTCAGTTCCTTTAAAATAAAGTTTTAAAAGGTAAGGCTACTCATGACACAGAAGATTTAAGGAGAGTACAAGCCAAGCTTTCATATTGTAGCTGTACCTTTAGATTCTGACCATCAAATGGCAACGATCCGCTTACTAGCGTGTACAAAATGACCCCGAGGCTCCACACATCCACTTCAGGACCATCGTATTTCTTTCCTTGGAAAAGTTCAGGAGCGGCATAAGGTGGGCTTCCACAAAACGTGTCCAGTTTATTACCGACGGTAAATTCGTTACTGAAACCAAAGTCTGCAATTTTAATGTTCATGTCTGCATCAAGTAGAAGGTTTTCTGCCTAAGAGAAAAATAAAAGAGGAAAAGGGAAATTTATGTATCAGAATAAGATCAATATATTACAATGTAGCAGTCATCAATAAATGCAAAAAATTTTTTTTTTTCCCAAAATTTTTCACCATCTCTATCTTTCTTGCAGAACAGAAGGAACTAATATTCCTCCTGAATACATTACAAAGATTGAAAATTGACTATGTTTACTTAGGAAAATACAACTGTTAAAAGCAAGCAAACAGACCTGAAAGTCAGCTAGTGAGCTGTAAAGATTTTCTTTTCTGGAAGAAATAACTTAGCTTTACACTGTAGTATGTAGACATCTCAGAATAGCAGCTTCAGCTTTTGACAGGTCCATGCCAGCTTCTGATGTCAAGGAGTCTAGGTCTAATCTGGACACCATCTACCATTTTGGCATGGCAGGTGTTAGAAGGGATTTAAGAATTTAAAAGAAGATCCCTTCTGCTTACAAGACAAAACACTTCAAGCTATGTGCTGTATCTTAGCATTCTGTACCAAAAAAATACTCTCCCCTTTATTTATTAGTGTTTGCTTGAGGAGTAATACCACCAAGGTGTTTATCACTCAAATATTGTGTATGAAAAAATGCATGTATTACAGATCTATGAATATTATTCCCCTGCAGCAATCATCACATCAATGCAAGGCATCACATACACATAAATGCAAGTATTCAGGAACCTGGAGAGCCAGTAAACAGTACCTTATACTTCGTATCACAGGTAGGTCGGAAGATTTCAAGAGCAAAGTTAGAGACATACTAACACATTACTGGGAAAAAAATAAAGTGTGTTTCTCAAGACGCAAGGATGCTGTACAAAGAGTGCAGCAGCACTGGGCGGTGTTTACTCATCTAACTGGGACCCAGCTCCTGAGCTGCATATCACCAACACAGGAGCAGCACTGAGCAGTGCAGGAATCCTTTTGCAACAGCAGGACAGACATCAGTCAGAACAGAGGATTCACCTAATTGCCAAACATCAGTTTTATAGCAGACAGAGTTATCTCTCACTGTGCTCTAAGTGAGCCCAGAAAATAAAAAGTCTTAGTTCAAGATCAGAGGTACAGCAGTCAATTTGTTAGTTGCTTTGAATAAAAAGGTAAACATAATCTTTTTTGGGCTGGTTTGTTTGTTTTGTTTTATTTTTAATAATTTCACTTGCCCTAAATGAACAGGACAGGAGGCAATTAACTACCAGTATATCAAGCCAATAGCTGCACAACAGAATTTAACCTTTATCAGGAATATAATACAGCCCATTTTTACAAGCTAACTACCCTGGGAAATAAACTTTGTTTTCCCAATTCATGGCCTGTACTCTCAGCTGGTTCCAGCTGATGTGCCTGCAGACAGACTCAGAGATATTTTCCAGATTTGACAGCCTTCTCCATTACCACACAAAGACTTCATTTTCCTTGTGCTGAAAACATTACTGTCAGTGCAGCTGCTCTACGATTACAATAGTCCTCCTAGTTCAACAGTACTCTGCTACCCAAGTACCCCATGCTTTTAGGTTCTTATTTCAAACAAAACCACCAAAAAAACCTTTTTAATATGCCAAATAGAAAGACTGTGCTCTTGTTGGTTACGTGTTCAGAGCAAAAACTGTTAACAGTCACAGAAAAGATAAGATGTGTTTTGCACATCATAGGATGAGCAAAGTTGGAATTGGTTATAGCTCTTTCTACACAAGCTGTTTATAATCACAGAAAATAAGAGGAGACAGTTTAAGTATCCACAAGGCCTTGCACTCCCTTCTCTTGTGCCAGAATAGCCTCAACAAACCTGCATGTTTTCTTGCAAGTCTTCCTAGATTAGTCTGAAGTAACTTCCATTTGATGAAGTTTACCCTTTCTGTTATTAAAGCCAGAGAGGCTTATCAAAAATCTCCAGCGTGGTGCTAGACCTCTGCCTTGCGGTGCTCAGTGTCAGTTGGTCAGCATGCCAATACCAGGGGGAAAGTCAACAGAAGCAGATGTGAATGCAGACACAATGGTAAAGTTGCTTATTCCTTCTCTGCAGCTCCATGCTAAGAGTTTTAAGTGAGACAGAGATGACATATAACATTTGGAAAGGAAAGACAAATGGAGAACACCTCCTCAAAGCCATACGTTCAGCCCTTTTTTTCTCTGGGGAATGTATTTTTCATTGGCTAGGCTGACTGACTCTCAATCACACCTCACACTGAACTTTTCGAATGAGCCTAGCACACCTCCCTCCAAGAGAAGATGGAGAGAGGAAAGCAACCTAAGAAATTATTTTGGAGCTTGCCTGCCTGTCTTGCACATAAAAAGGCGATCAGCAGCAGAGTACTTGTGACAGATGGTAAAAGGGAACCTGCATGAACGCTGCAAAGCGGTTTTGGATAGTCCTGTGAACAATGCAGGAAGCTGTATGTGTGCTATGGAACCAAGAAATGAATGAGGGGTGGATGCTGTAATGGGTGTGGGAGAAAGAATGAGATGCAGGATGCTAAATCACTGCAGGGGTTACTGCAGCAAGACTCAGTAATACAGCTGGGCTGAGCTAGCCAGTGCCAGATATGCATGAGGAGATGGCTAGCTCCCTACTCCCAGCCAAGTACGGGTGCGAGAACCAGCGAAAGCATCCTGACCAGCCAAGGCCCTAGGTGCAGCCTTCTAGAAAGGCCAACAGTGGCTGCAGTAAGCTCCAGGGAGCTTGACAAAACTTTCACAGGCTCCAAACTGCCACACAAGATGGGGAGGAATCTTTTTAAATTAAGATTTCATGAGATCCAGCCCTTTCCTTCCTTGCATTCTGACTTCATAGTGCTGGCCAGGCACCTCCCTCATCAGATGACAATGGTCCTGGGGCAGGGAGGACTCAGGAGAAAAGGATGTGGTGTTCAGCACCATATGCATACACAGGAGCTGGCAGATTGACAGGTACAACGGAACAGATTTGTAAAAAAAGTTAAGAGCGTGCTACAGTGTATTGTGAGAGAGTTAAGACAAAGGATACTCGTGAAAAAAACCTTAGGAATTATTCAACCCCAGCTTTTCACAAGTGTTTAGATACATTAGTTAAAAAACCCTACAATGGTGTTTTCTTTGTAAACTTACAAAGACATCAAAGCCAGAGCACAAACAGGTGAAGGTCTTGCCTCCAAGTCCCATGACATCTAAACTTGGCACAAAGCCAACTTCAGACTGAAGGCTTAGGTTGTACCTGCAGCTGCTGGACTCTTTAACGTGGCGTGGTATGTTTACACAGAGAGATTACTAGAAAGCATCAAAATAAGGAAGTTCAACTCATTTCTGTTTACCTTTGCTTTATTTTTCTGCCTGAATCAAACAGATTACAAACCCTAACAGATTTCTTATGAATCACTAGGAAAAGACCATTTTATATATCTTGCAATATATTTTAACTGAAAATATCTTAATGAAGCAGAGCTGACTGGTATCATTGAACTTCTGCAGCTTCAGTGTGCAGATATCTGCATGCCAGCAGGTATTATTCTCCACAGAACACTCTTAAAGCCAAAACTGGCATGAAAGTAACACATGTTCTATTCTTGTCTCTCCCCTGTTCCAACAGGCAAGCCACACTATTTTTGTGCTTCAGAAAATTGAGAATAAAATACTCCCTCATCCACGTTTGAGACATTCAGAGGCAGCAGCAAGGACAAGTATACAGAATGAAATTAAGTCTATGCTGTCAACAAGCAAAATGAAAAGTAACAGCCTACCTTCAGATCACGATGAACTATGCATTTCTGATGACAGTACTGAACAGCAGATACAATCTGAAACAGCAAAATGATCACTGACATTTTCTTTCAATCTCAGTGTAAGTTTTCGCTTATAGTTTAGTAATTTTGGCTCCTGATACGATTCAGTAGAACAAAAATAAATAATTAAGCTTTCATTTTAGAAAATATTAATGGAATTTTCATTAAAGCTCAAATACCAAAACTAAAATGTTCCTAAAAGCAGCTCATTCTTATTTAAAAAAGTTTAAACACATACTCTTTAAGGTAATAGGAGAAACATCTATTTTAAATGCAGATTGCCCAATAGCAATAACTATAACAGAAAATTATTCCCCTCCCCAACCTAACAGCCGGAGGTACCATCTCAGATTTTATCTTCTGAAAGATTTGCAGCATCTCTCCGCAATTCATCCCCAATGGAATAGTTCATTCAACGTTTTCATATACATCTTTTACATATATGTAACAAAAAAACCAAGCCTGAAACAGCAAGTTAAAGGCAGTTCTTTTACATGTTAACTATAGACTTCAACTCTGAAAAATACCAGATTTTGTTTATCTAATTAAAGTTTTTCACAAAATAATCACTAAAAACAGGCTAAGAAAAAGATTCAGACGAGGAAGTTTTTAATATGAATATAAAAACCTGTTACAGAATGCCCTCTGTATAAAACAATGTGACATGACACAGCAATACATGTCACATCAACATCTCCAGATAGAACATCTGTTAAATTCTAAAATATTCAAAAAGAGATTAAACCCTCAAGTGAGTCACAATAAAAAATGTGGCTAAAAAAGAATGTAAAACAGTCTTACTATTTTTAGATAGTACGTAGGAAGCAGATATTTTTCTCTTTAGGGAATTTTTTCCACTCCAGCCTTTATAAACATTATCACAATAATATTTTTTTAAGGAAAAGTATGCTCACACTCATGTCTACCTGAAAACACCATAAATAGAAACAAAAGGAAGAGTGAATGTTAATTTCATACCTGCCTGAATTTTGCACGAGCTTCTTTCTCTTTCATTCTTCCATGTGCAACTAGGTAGTCAAACACTTCTCCTGACCGTGACAAGGACAAAACATCAGTCCTATTGCCCAGGTTTCATTTTCGACGGTCATGCACAATCAAGTCATGCCTGAAAACAATCCTCCCCCCCAACCCCTTCTCGAAGGGAATGGAAATAGAAGCAGCAAGAAAAAAAATTCCTTTTTACTGTTTGCATTGGATGTCATTTTTCAGACATGTAATAGTCAAGAATTGTAAAAATGGAACCCTTCATACTGAGGTTTCTTCATTTGTTTGAAATAAATGTTTCGCAGTGGGTTTTAAATAAAAGTCCCTGAACTTTAATAATGAAAAATATTTATATTGCATGTAAGACACACCGGGACACAGGCCACGTCTTATGCATCAGATTTGTTTTGCATATCTCTAGCTGTTTCACTTAACAGGACCTGTATTGCTTCCATTTTTCCATTTTGTTCTCTTTTTTTAGATAAAGCTCCTCAAATGCCTTTCAGATCCTTATCTTTGCACTGTCTCACAAGCCGCCTTTCCGAGCTGGGCTAGCCCTGTGCTGTATTCCCTTCCCACATTCACACGTTTCCCATTCAGATTCTAAGCAGCTTCTCAAGCAGGCACCCACTATCCCCCTCACTCTTCATGATCCTGCTGGTCCCCTTTCCCATGTTCTGTATTTTCATCCCCCAGACCTGCCTCTCCAATTGCACTGGTACACTTTTCCACGATAAAATGAGGCACCAGTGCTTGCCTAAATATAGCAGATAGACACAGAGTGAAGTTTTTGCCACAAGTGGCACCAGATTATCTCCTGATATTCCAGCAGAAACCTCTGAACGGTAATTAAGCACAAACCTAATAGGTTACTTTACAGAACACGATGCAAGCAACAAAGTCTGCCCTGGGAGGTCTGCTGGGACTGTGGTGAAGGCCAGACGGGAACAACCCATTAACCGCAACCCCCTTACATCGTTCCTACGCATGCAGCCAGCATGGGTTTCTGTATTTCAGTTTATCCTTACAGCACAATTAAGAATCCACTTACCCCCACTGGCATATTCCATTACCAAATACAATGTCTTTTCAGTTTCAATAACTTCAAATAATTTTACTGCAAGAAAAATGAACGAGAGAGAGATTGCAGCAGGGAGCAAAAGCATAGCACAAACAAAAAAGCCTTACTCATGAAGTGAGTATAATTCATGGCCAGCGGTAACACTAAACCACATGAAGACTTTATGTCCTTTAGGTTAGCATTCTTTTGAGGGGGGAAAAAGGCAAAATTAATCTCTAAATCACGGTTGATAATAAAGCATATTAATTCACGATTTTCTCAGTTTATGCACGCTGTCAAACAAGTTCATGCTGAAATTAGTGTTTAATTTGGCACAGACATCTTTAAGATCATACAAACCTTCCCTGTTTCACTAGTAAACTGCTCCCAGTTAGAAATCTGAGATTCTGACCAATTAAAAACCAAGTGGACACCAGAAATGTTAAGTCTGGAAGACTTTCCCTGGATTGTAACAGTAGCAACCCGTTTAAAACAAAACACACCCGCCCCAGCACCCCGCAACCCCCAAGAAAACTAACAGCAGAAGCTCAGAATGCTGGAAAAGCAACAAACAATTCAAGGGATGAGAAGGGAGTGCCTAGCATGTAGTAACTTGTACACCTCGTCCATACCTTGTATGCAACAAGCCCTCTGGCCGATTCAGGACCATTAACTGTCTCTGGAACAAGACTGTCCAGCCCTCCTCAGCCAGAAGAATTGTCATCACAAAGTAGGGCCCTGAAGCTGTGGGGTAGGTGAAAGAACTAAAGCAGAAAGGGAAAATTACATACTTCGCAATTCTAATTTTCTGGAAATATCAGTCCGCAGGAGTCTTTCCTAGACTGAAGTGATGGAGTTTTGCTACTTTCACCTAAGAAACTCATGCTTTTTGGTCTCAGGAGTAATTTCAATGACCACAGGGGAGTGGGCCCCTCAGACCAGAGCGCTCAGCATCTCCTACTCCACGTTAAAGCTTTCCTGGACTGAGCGGTTTATCTCCTCAGAGCAAAATTCTTGTTTCAAGCAGAGGGGCGAGACAACAAAGCATTTACTGAATGCTGGCTGTCCTACTGTTTCAAAAAAGTTTAACGAACAAAAGCACAGCTGTAAAGTACATTCAAATAAAGCCAGAGAGAGTAAAATGTAAACAGCATAATAAAAAAAAAGTTTGCAGAAATGCAGGGCTCCTACCAATATTGGGATGATTCAGTATCTTCATTATTCGTACTTCTCGAAACAGCTGTCAAGGAAGCAAGACAATTTGCTTAAGAGCGTGTTTATTAGGGAAAAGTTACACAAGACAATGCAATTTTAGATGACCAAGGGGAGAGCAGAGCAGCATAAGCCACAGAAAACAGCATTAACATAAAATACAGACAAATATAGTACTGTGAACTCCAAAGATGTAGATCTGCATCTTATACATTATGTAACAATAACCACTACCAACTACCTATCGAAACCGGACTAGTTTTTAAACCTTATACAACAGAGACTGCTAAGTTTTATAGCCCCTTCTGGAGTATCACATTGACCAAAACTGACAGTACTCACACAAGTTTTTGTTATCTCTTTGCTCGATTTCTTTGGTGACTGGCCAGCTCAGCTAACTACCCTGAATACACAGAACTGCAGGTGCAGATACCAGTTGTACTACTACAGGAACGTCAAACACACAGGAGTTAAAATGGGATTAGATAGCAGGCATCCTGATGTCCCCGGTCCTGCTGCTCCACAGAGGCGAAGCAGACGAGTTCACTTTTCTCACAACTACCGAATTTTACAGTGGGTGGCAAACAGCCGTGTCGCCTCTCCCTGTGGCAAGGCCTGAAGGTTTAGGATCGAGGAGAGTCCGCTACGTGTTCCTAAGTCACATCATTGAAAACAACCGGACAATCTTAGAGTCCTAAGTGTGTATACTTAAGACAATGGTGGGTTTACTTTTTTAAACTGGAAATAAGAGGTTTTGCTCTTAATCAGTAAACCCATGAATGCTAGAAATTTAAGAGGTGAAGCAGGACTAACCTAGGGGGAAAAGGGAAGAAGGCAAACAAAAGGAATCCAAAATGACTACACAGTTCAGTTACTCTGTACTCGACGTTGTCAATATTGATAAAGTCTGCACTGCTTTACTGGAAGTGAACAGCATGTCCTTGTTGTCAAACCTATTTACCGTGCTGTGCACTCTTTAGGTCCTTATTGGACTGAAGGAGGATGCTTGAAATGAAGGAAGAAAAGCTCACTGGCTTCAGCGTAATGCTTAGCCACACTGGAAACATCACTACAGTCGCCTTCCAAAGAAACTTGGCTCCACACTACAGTGTGTTGTTGCTGTTGTACTTGTCCTCTGAGACATCAGACATCTCTCCCTCCATTTTCAAAATTAGTCCCATTTCTGCAGACGCTCCCTTTGCAAAAGAGTACAATGATGCAAGCCAGAGACTGAACACCTCCTCAAAGACTAGTGCTTTAGCTTCTGTTTTATGGTGGCTGAGACTACAAGCTGAGAAATACAAATTCTTTTGCTTAGACAACACTAACGGGGCTTGTTTGGTTTTTTTTTAAACTCTGTTTGTGCAATTTAGCCATAACATTTCTGCCATTCTGCATTTATTCTACAAGTTAAGACTACAGAGCAACATCTTTTTGGAATGCAGTTTTCGATTAAGTAATATTATTGCAGTTCTATATTAACACTAACTATACCAAGCTAGTTACTATCCATTTGCATTATAATTGCCATTGAAACAATTTCAGAAGGAAACAAAGACTATAAAAGCACTTCTCTGAAAAAACACGAACAATATGATACAGTTTGCTTGTGTTCAAAATGTATCACATGGGTACACAATACTATGTACTAGAATTAACTTCAGCAAATATTGTTTCCTCATAAAGCCAGTTATTCCTATGAAAAAAACATCCTACCAGGCTGCTCTTCGCGCATTTTTTTGTTTTTCTAAGTATTGAATTCGTCACATAAGAAAGTTTCTCAGGTAAATCAACAGTGATTAGTCAGAAGTTAACAAAATGTAAACCAACAGATGGTACAGCTTCAGAACAGCTTCCACACAGGTATGTAAAAAACTGCAATTCCTGCCAGAAGACTGGAAAGGTATTTCATAACTTAACAGTATGAATGCTGGTATGAAAGTTACAGCAATGAACACATCTTCATAAGCAGGATTAAAATATTAGACTTCTATAAATAAATTAATTCCAAGTCTAGAAAAAAAGACCATAAAGAAACACAATTTTCCATGTAAGGTAAAGCACACTGTAATGGGGGGGGGGAGGTAAATGGTGTGCATTATTCTATTTGATATTCTCAAAAGACTTGGAAGTTTACTAACTGGTTTATGATTCAAATTGATTTCACAGTGACATAAAGTTTTGTTCCACATAATATGTCATTTTTCCTTCCAGAAAGGAAGAAGTCTAGTAGGAAACTGACACAAAAGTCTATTTTCCTCAAGACAGAACATTGCTGGCCTCTAGCCTGACAGAGACACTTTGTCATGTGAAATAAACATTTACTCGCTCTGGTTCTGAAGAGTAGACATCACCAACACCCCAGGTATGGGCTTCAGTTTTTTTCCATCCAAACGCCAATAAAATTTTATACATCTTGTCTTATCCTGTTGAATAGATATTTTGTCTGAAAACTGAGGCATGTGCTCTCATATAAAAGCAGGTACACAGTCCTGGTAGTCACTATGAGTATCTCAAGAGGAAGTAGGTAGCCCTTTGAAAGAAAGCAGCTGTTCTAAGAAAAATTCTGAATGAACTGAACGAACTTACACAGTGAATTTGGGTATTTTCTTGCTGGTTAGTGGCTCTGAGGTGGGGTTTTTTTTGTTTGCTTGGGGTTTTTGACTCAAAGGCACTTTTCATGCTGGTTGAAGTGAGTGTGCCTGCTTAGAGCACGAACTGGACAAGGATGAAGCAGTCTGCTGCTGAAACTACAACACACAATGCTGCCTTCTTCACAGGGAGAGCTGCGTTCCTCTGACAGCTCACGTTGTGCAGTCGTTGGTATCGGTTTCTGAAGAGTTTCCATCAGTTGTTTACCTGGTGCAGTTCTTAAACAAGCAACCCAACTTTTTAGACCTTTTTCGGAAGTAACTGAGGCATAGGCATCTTCTGAATGAGGCAGACATAACTTATGTATTCCATAATCCTAACTAAATCAAGCAGCTTTGCTAAAGCTGCTTGGCGTGACAGACACCTGTCAACACAGGAAGGCTGGAAGAAATTGTTTAAAAGGCTGAAAGAACCAAAATAATGGAACAGCACTGTGTAAAGAATACAATCACACTACACCTTGTGTAGTTCCTGGCCCAAAAGGTATGTGTATGGGTCTTCCAAGTGTGGAGTGGGAAGAAAGAGTAGGGAACCTTACTTGAATACAGATGTTCAAAACAGCAGATGGAAATTGGACAAATGAACTATTTTGTGGAGTGCCGGTGTATATTGAGGATTCCATTTGGTCCAGTATAAATGCACTTTTATACCAATTAAGAAAATGCCAACGTTTACTCGTCCATCCTTCAGTTTTCTCTCCCAAGAAACAAACCATCTAGGTAACTCCTGAACAATGGGTGACACTTGAATAAAGGTGTTAACAGCATTCAAGTATTAGAGTAAATTAATTTATATTACAACTCTGCATTCCAAGGAGCACTACTTTGGAATAAACCTTATTTTTCCTCCCACCTTGTCTTGACAGAAGTAAGCTGGTCATTACCACTTGTTCTGTCAACACCTATGTATTTACAAATAGAGGTATCTTTAAACAACAGTCACAACACACATCGGTAATACCCAGGATGCCTCTATAGGCAAAGGAAGAGACGTGCTAAAGCACCAAGACCATAGCTATCTCCTACAGAGCCAAGTCTGATCATCTTACAGAAATGTGGACAGCATAGTGAGATTAGCTTTCCCTTCACAAGGGGGGAAAATAGAGCTTCACTTATACCAGCACCATACTCAATTCATGTAACTTGTGCCTATGGAAAAGGCACAAGGCTTGAAAATTCGATTTCCTGCTTTTCCAGTTCGACTTTTCAGTGTGCAGACTGTAAAAAATGAAAAGATCTTCTGTCGCACCACTGCTAACACTTCTACTTGCCATCAGGTTGACGTCTACATTTAAGGTTTACTATTTTAAGTCACTACAATCAAACTGAAAAATCTTCAGTTAACCAAGGCTTTTTCTTGCTTTTAAAGACGTGGTTGAATACTCCCCTACTTTCTGTTTCACTACTGAGAGGGATGTTGCAGAAAAATCACAGCTTTCAGTAGGTAACATTGAGATTGTTTCAAATCTTCCATCATTTACTTCTATCCTGCTTTTCTTAACAGAAAGAACCTGTTTGAGGCTTTAGATATGTTTAAGAATAAAATGAAGCCCGCTGAGCCCTAAAAAGGGAAAATCTGGAAATGCTACTTGCTAATCAAGCCTATTAAGAAAAAAGCACCTTCTGCTCCACTAGCAGTTTGCAGAAGAGTAACAGAATGCTATTTCAGAAAACATCCCTAGTGCAGCCAGTACAAGACAACACTTCTAATATAGCAGACATGCAGAAAATAGAACTAGAATTTACATCAAAATAGCTGTTATGATAAAACCCAAATACATTTGGGAAAAAGTTACAATCATGACAGTGGAAAAAACTATGTCAGTACAATATGTTACTATCAAGACAGCAGGTTCACAAAAAAGCCAATTCTGTCTTCTAAACAGGTGCTCGCTGAGTAAGACAGGAACCAGCTAGTGAGCAAACTGAGAACAAAATAAAATAATGTTGGATTAAGGGCACTACCTTTATCTATTTAAAAAGGTAGAGGTCCTGAAGCAAGAAATATAATGGTAGCAAGACTAGCATACTGCACGCACAAAGTTGCAAAATTAAAAATTCACAAGCTCAGCTTACTTGTGTCCCCTCCTCCCATTTGATGGTTTAAGTTAAAATAACTATGCCTGCGAAGCACCCTGTCCATACCACCTCACGTAAGAACCTGCTAAACACCTTCTTTGCTTTCAGACCCGTGACCAGCTACAGACCCAGCTTGTATGACACTTTCAGCAACTGAAGTATGTCATCAAACAGTTCTGTTTACAAAACAGAGTGCATGAGAAGCTGTGATGGCTCAACTCATTTTATTTAATTAGGTCAGTAACAAGTACTAAGGCAAAATCTACTTGCCCATGATCTCTTTTCCATTATACTGAATGGAAAGGGGATGGTTTTGTGACTGACCCTTTGCCTAATATCACTACATATTTGTCTCATTTGATTAATAATAATCAACAGTGATTGAAAGCTGAGAGGTTTTGCTGACCTGGGTACAATTTACCAGCTTTGTAGTTCTAGAGACTGTCCTCTCAACTGCGTTAATTTAGACAGTTCAAACTCAGGAGTGTCATTTTTGTAGCAGTAACATACTCCACTACTCCTCTAAACATTCATTAGAAAAGTGTCTGTTCCTATTAAAACACTGTTACTATCAGTGCTTCCCATTGCCACCATTACCTCTTGAAGAAAAAATTGACGACTAAGTCCTATGCACATATGATACAACCTATGTGCATCCAATATGTACATATTACACAACCATGATGACAAAGTTACAAAAATTCACATTACAGTGGCACTGTACAGTACATAAAGCAGCAGTAACCTGACGTAATAGTTCGGTGCAGAAAGAAAAATAAGGATGACTGATTTCACAGACCAAGTGTTTTTATTGTTTTATTTACAATACACAAACAACCTATCAAAATACTAACAGAACAAGTAATTCTAAGCATGCTGATGAACCACCCTCCCGCCCTTACTTGCTTTAAAAGAAAACTACATTTACTTGAGTGACTGGGCAAAAACTGTGCTTAAGCCCACTTGAAAGCTTTTAAGAAATCAATATTCAGTTTCATTCAAAATTCTCAGAAAACTGTAGGAAGCTGAAAACCTTCAGAGCTTCAAAACAAAGATTATTTTTTCCTGAAAATTACGATCAAGAAGTTACAAAGGAAAACTTTATATCGAAAAATTATCACACTTTCCAGTGGAAGCAGAAGACACATGGGATAAGTATTTCTAGAGGTTATTGAAGAATGCAATTACGGTAACACCCCTAAATTTAACTTCTGTCCTTAGTTCTGCTATAAGCTGCTTCTAACTGCACCTGAAAAATGTTTCTCACTATCAGCTTCCCACTCAAAAACCAAACAACAGCAATGTCCTATTACAGGAGTATTGTGTACTACTCATGCAAGGCGACAGCATCTTTTGTAGGCTATGAAAGTTTGATTTATACTCTGAATGATTTTTTTTAACCAAGTGTTCAACATTTTTGTGTGAAATATAACTTATTTATCATTAAAGCAATTATCCCAGACATAAGTTTTTTCTGCTTAATCTTCCAGAAAGTTTTAACATATTTCACTCTCTCACTGCTCGACAAAAAGACAAACTCACCTGGCTCTCCAAGTGTAGATACTAAGCCAGGTAGGAGACAAGCTGCGTGAGCAGCACAGGATTTCCCCAATATGCTTTGTCACATACTGCCTCTGTGGGTCCCTCTTCACTACCTCAAATGCTAGCTAATATAAGTTACAGGACTTAAGGATAGCAAAGCTTTTGCATGGACTCTGCACAGCAGATTGAATTAAAAAAAATCCTGAAGAACCCATACTCAAAGATACTACATAAGAGAAATTAAAGCAAATAAATCAAAGAATTAAAAGAAATCAAAGTTGTTTACAACTCCCCATAACCAACATTAGACAATAAAATAAGTGTAATAGCAGCCAGAGATAATACATCCTAGCCTTTCTGTCATTCTACAGCTACAGACAGCAGCAGTCTAGTATATGTAAACAAAAAAATCCCAAATTTTTAGAATGGGCAAACTCCATCAGGACAATACAACATTTCTGTGCTTCAGCCACAAATAGTAAAAAACAAACTAAACAAAAAACCCCAGGGTTTTGGTTAAACCCTTATCACAATGGTTATGAAGGACTTCTAAATTTCTATCCGCAGGCACAGACAGTGCAAAAAACAGTGCAAAACCAAACAAGAATATTCTGATTATGTTCAGTCATTTTGTCAATTCTACACACAAAAAGTAATTGCCAAAAGGTCCCTTGAGTTTAACAAATGTTTTATTAAAGTTGAAAGAATATAAAACCAGAGGTTAAAAACTAACACTAAATCCATAAAAATCGGCACACTCGTAACGCCACAAAAACCAATTACTACATTAAAGAAAGATACTATCCTTTACAGCATTACACCTTTAATATGTGGACAAACTACTTGTGTACCTAATTTGCTGAAAATAAAATTAGTATCCAAGAGTAAAGCTGGAGGAAGAAGGAAGAGCAAAGAAGCAACACTTAGATAGGAACCACACAGAGAAACCACCCTCAGACAACCTGCACAGGCACATCACAGTAAAGACAGTAGGATGCCACTGTCTCCCAAGGTCACACATACACGAAGATGTTTGTTCAGCAAGATAAAGGGGCCAAATATTTTTGTCAAGTAAATAGAAGATCACAGTTCAACTGCTTATAAAATTGCAGGTGTTACGGTGTATTCTTACCTTTTGCAGACTAGTAGGATTTAGCTGGGTTTTATCTATTATTTTCACAGCAACCTTGGGGAAAAAGAAACAAAGAACTATGGATTATTAAACTCAGAAAAATATTTGAACAAAAATACATCACACCTCTGTAAGCAGAATGATGGATGTGCCTAAAGACATGTTTACGTGTCTGCTTTTATGCAATTCATCAGGCAAAATTTCTCACTTATTGGGATCTACCAGCAGTAGCTCAGAACTCCACTACCGATGGTATCACCAAGGAATCAGTTTTATACTTCTGTTGGTGTTCGGGCAGAACAACGTTATCCTGTCCACTGCAAAACCAACCAGGCCCTCCAAACACAAGATCGATCAATCGATTGATCTATCTATCGACACATTATCAATATCAATGAAATCTATTTATCCCTTTTCCCATTGGTTTTGGAAATGCTTGGAGATAAATAAACCTTCTTCCAGCCCCAAAATACACCTTGATGTACAAGAGACTTTTTGATCTCTTCACCAAGAAGTTACATGTTAAAAAAAGGGTGAGTGGTTTGGGGAAAAAGAACTCTGGCACCTCAAGTAACTTTTCCTATATGCGGAAACAGCCTCTTTGCATCTTCCTTTATCATGACAAAAAAACATGCTTTTTCTATTCAGAAGAGAAAGGTAAAAGAACAGCAGAAATACTTATTTTAAAGACAGCCAAAGATCATATAAAGTCACCTTTTTCAGTAAAGGCTTACCTCTCTTCCAGTAAGCACATGCCTTGCCAGTTTCACTTTGGCAAAATTTCCTTTTCCTATAGTTTTCAGTAAGCGATAATTTCCAATGTGAGGATGCTCTTCATTGGTGGATGTAATGGAGTTCCTGCATCGGGGGATGTTTTGTCTGCTGCTTGACTTGATAGGCTGGACGTGTGGTTCAGGGTATCCATCCACAGAGGTATGCTGGAGGGCAGATAAACAGTTGGGTATTTACCTACTTGGATTTGAGACCCTTGCAGCAGAATAGACTAAAAGCATAAAAAGGTGTAGGGGGGAGTAATTAATTTGCTTTTACATGTATAACTGATACCTTCAGATTGTAGCTTAAGCAGAAAATGCTGGTTTTGGGCAGACTTTGATGCATGGCTCAAGGATAAAGTCTGCAGAAAGATTCTACCAGCTCCAAAAGCAAAACTAGAGACACCTAAGCAGTAATCAACGAACCATTACAGGTTTTTTGAATATGAAACTATGCCAAACTACACACTGCACCACTATGTTGCAAATAAACTTGTCTAATAACCAAATTTAGTCTTTTAAAAATAAATAGTACAAAAAATATTTGTATTTTGGCATATTTGGAAACAAGGTTTCACTTTATTTTTTTCTTAGCTTTCTTCAGCTCAAACCTTATGAGAAAAGTATTTTTTTTTCAAGTAAGCTTTGTTCCCCAAATCTGTTTGCATTTTTTTGCAAGTCACAGAAGTTCTCATTCAAGTAACAGACAATCTACATCTTTATTTTTAAATAACCTGTTCTTAAAAAGAAACCCCCATGATATCTCATAAATATATTTTACATCTTTAAAATTCGGAGGAACTAGAATGATGTTATTTTTAATGCATGCCAACACATCATCCCACATTAAGTGTTAGTCACCGAAATCTGCAGTGCTTATGTACGCTTTAACTTCCAAGTATGCAAGGGGCAAGCTACAGATGGGGCCTGGAAATGTTCCAAGGAGAAACCAAAATAACAGAAGATGTCAAAGGGGCGTTAAGTGTTTCAGTATTTCAAGCGCTTTCTAACATGAGTGGCAGGTGGGTACAAATGTTTAACAGGTAAAATTTAGCCTCTGATCTTTTAGGTTACGGATTTTAAGGCAGGCAAATACTGTAGGTAGAACCAGTGTCTTCTCAGACCAGTTTTAGATATTCTAACAGAAAGGCATGCTTACTCCCAGCTTGCTCAGTTCCTGGTAAACAGAAAGCACCAACAAAACTCAAGACATCAAATATCTTCCCTGTTATTCACTGCTGCAATCAGAAAGTGGATTTCTCAACATCTTTTGTACACACAGAGCACTAACTGAGCATGTTCCTTTACATACCAAAGGTTTCTAGATCTCTGACCTTAAGCTGAAAGCAGAATCAGAAGGCAGTGGGAGGTTTCACTGTTTGTGCCAATACCCAGCCTAAGGCTGGTCGATGCTCATCTCGCCCATTATTCCTCATGCAAGTAATTATTTTCTTATACAAAACAGAATTTAAAGCAGTGCTTCCAACTTCAGTGTGTGTTTATTATAGACTGAGGTCAATCCCCTCCTGTGAACACCCAGACTTACAGACAGTCCCACTGAGCCGAGATGAGTTATTTCAGGACATAAGCACTAGTAGAATTGGGAAAACTAGCAACAGCTGCAACACAACCGGAAAAAACAAGGAGTATACCACAACCAGAATGTTCTTCCCAAATGTAGCACAACTCTGCTTACATCACCTCCAGCATGATTAATTATTCACTGTGGCCAGGAGAACGCTCCTAAATATAATTTTCTGTTTGTCTTTTCATTACCTGAGTCTCTCTGCAAAATACTTTATCCCCACTGCTAAACTGTTCTCCAAATCACTGCAGAACAACCAAGCAAGCCGTGTTTAGATTCCCTGTACCAGACAGGTTTGTTGAACCATGACATGACACCCTAGCAATAGTATTTATCCTTTAGAAGCCCATAATTAAAACACTGTGGACTCGGGAAGAGAGGATCAGGACAGCTCCAGGCGAAGAGGTTTCAAAACATCCCTTCAACATCAGATGCTTTACCTACATGCGATGAACCAGCGCCCAAGTAAAAGTCTCACTTAAGAAAATACCCCAAAACCCCAGCATTTGTATGGTGCTAATAATTTATATTATAGCCAACCTAAAATGCTGCCCAGAACTACGGCACTACGGTATACAAGCAAGTTTTGAAAGTCATGCAATTAGGTCTTCACTACTTGAAATGCAATGCCTACCAGAAGCATTAGCAACCCGACTATCAATTGCCAATTTCCTAGGCTTCACAGGATTAGCCTACTTCCAGTAGGTACTTGAAGGGATCTTTTAGATAAGCACTTGGATAGGCAAGCAAAACCAATGCCACAGGCAAAGCGAAAGATAGATCATTTTAATCCTCACAGGATAGATCATCTTAATGTAGAATGTAGATTTAACAGGGAAATCAGTTATTTAATCATAATGACAATATAACACAAACCAAATCTGAAGAGAGGGGAAAAAAGAAGTAACAAGGTTCACGGTCACGATTCTGGATTTTGGTGTTTCTGTAACAGAAAAACTAAATCCATCCAAATAGTTTCTTAATTATTCCCTCTTAGACAGATTATGTTCAAAGTCAAGCACTCTCCCCAGCTGTGCCCAAGGATGACAGAAAACATGCATAAAGATGGTCAAGTTTCTTAGTTTGTGAGCCATATATATATATTAAAAAAAAAAGATTTTTGAATTTGAACAGTACTGAACGGAATAAAAATTATTCTTCTTAAGTCTTGCAATAGGTCTCTCTTGCACATAAACAGCTTACTGTAGTTGGAAAGTCCAGAGAAATTTAGACTAGAAACCTCATCAAGCTCTAGAAATCAGCATTCAACAAAATCAAAACAGAGCAAGGTTAAGACATTGGAAGAAGAAAAAAGGGAAGTTAGGTCAAATAACCTTATCTCAGATATTATTTCCAAACAATGGTAACGCTGAATTCCACAGAAGCATGCAATATCCACACTGTCTAGAAAGATAGGCCACGTAGTTTTACGATCTTTCTGGTGCATTGCAATACGTTCATTATGCATCAGCTCTTGTGTGGCTACTTAAAAATGCCATTTCAGAAGAAAAATCGCTAAATTCTGACAAATTTTCAGGGTGCTGGAAACAAGCAGGCTGTAAAAACCACCACACACCTTGAAGTTCACTGCCATCTAAAAACAATTCCAGCTAATGACCTGCACTTCCTACACAGGATTTTAATTAGGGATTCTGATATTTCTCTAGATACTTTCAGAGAGAATCATAGAATCATAGAATGGTTAGGGTTGGAAGGGACCTTAAAGATCATCTAGTCCCAACCCCCCTGCCATGGGCAGGGACACCTTCCACTAGACCAGGGTGCTCAAAGCCACATCCAGCCTGGGCTTGAAGACATCCAGGGATGGGGCATCCACAACATCTCTGGGCAACCTGTTCCAGTGCCTCACCACCCTCTCTGTGAAGAATTTCTTCCTGACATCTAATCTAAACCCCCCTGATTTCAATTTATCCCCATTCCCCCTTGTCCTGTCACTACAGGCTCTTGTAAAAAGTCCTCTCCCAGTACCCTTGTAGGCCCCCTTCAGATACTGGAAAGCTGCAATGAGGTCTCCTCAGAGCCTCCTCTTCTCCAGGCTGAACAAGCCCAGTTCTCGCAGCCTTTCGTCAGAGAGAGATATATAGAGGGAGATACTTATATGGATATATCAACAGAGGGAAATGCTACCTTACATCATAAACATGACCCCCCACATGTTCAGTTTATGTCAGTGTTAAATAAAATAAAATGTCTAGAAATCAACATAAAATTAGATGTTTCTTAAAACAAAATGCAAGTTTAAATGAAAAAGGTGCAGCAGTTTCAAATGTTTAGAGCTGAAACAGTATATCAGAGCAGCCGTTAAGGTATTTTGAGCATTAGTCAAGTATTAAAAAAGCAAACACCCAAGAAAAAAACACATACAAAACAAAATCCACCACCTCTCCGTAATTCTAGCGTTCCATTTTAGACTGCAGCTGAAGAGAGCTCAATTAACACTTACTACTCCTAACGAGGTTTGTTCTGACATGTGCCATTAGAAATATTGCAGAAAGCCAATGGCACTACAATCACAAGAGTTAACCTGACCCATTGCTTCCTCAAGACTCAAAGCTTGTGTGTTCCTTGTTTACTCAAGGCAGCTTTGCAAAAGCAAGATGACCCGATGCCCAGGCACGTTATCTTTGAGAAAGTGCAGAAGAACTAACCCCACCAAGTTGATACAAAGTGCATGCTCCACTACTTTACTTATTCAGCACCCTTTAGCCATTTAGCTAGCCACTGGTGTGGTATTCCCATGGCTTATACACTGTAATTAAGCTTACATCATCACGTATATTAACTGCTCTTACAGCTTAAGTCTTAAGAAGTCCCCAAAACTATTCTGGCCACCAAACCACACGGTCTTTCTCAATCAAACAACAGTAAAGACTCTGTAGTCCTTCTGAGTAAAGGGTGAACTTCCACACATCGATCTGCCTACAAATACACCACGCTTGATTAAGCAAATACCTTAGTCCTGAATTTTCCCCTTCTGGAGTTACTGCAGGGCAAATTCCTTAGTAGAGTCATCCTATGGAAGCAGAGTATGCACACGTGGTGCTAGAAAAGGCACACAGTCACACTTCCTCTCTCATATTATCTCCTGCTCTGAACTTAGGTTTCTTGTAGCCACTTTTATATTCATAACTCCAAACATTTTCCAGCATGTGCCACACACATGAGCATTTGTAACAGCTGTCATATTTTGCAAGGTAATCAAAACAGCTAGCCCAGTCAGAGGGACTCCGAAGGGTTTATAAGAGCATCTTCTAAATGGTTCTGATCTGCAACAGCTTTGGTTCACAATGCAGGGGAGGGAAAGGGAAAAAAGATGAGAAGTATTGCCCTGGATGTCCAGCTGTTTCCAAGATTTTAACTCCTTGCTGTTCATAACTATTCCTTTAGGTCCTAGAAGATTCTAGCAAACCACCTCAAGCAAGGCACTTCTTTTCCCTGAAGTAACAATCAAACTAAACCAGAAGAGTCAAATTTTTTGAAAGATCTTGGCAAACCTCAGTGTAAAAACCAACAGAAATGTTCAGATCAGCTTGTTCTGCATCACATACCAAGA